AAATGTTTCAAATTTAATGGGTTTATTTTTTTTAATTCTGTCTTATATTTACATGCCATTCCTCAGTAATATCATCAGATCTACTTTCAGCAAATACACTAAATTTAACCACTTCTTACTCTTCATCATTAACATATTTTTAGCCACTGTTATCTCTTCCCTAGACTATTAAAATATTTGAACAGATCTCAATGCTTCCAGTCATTTTAAAACAAATCAGAATATGCCATTTAGTACACTAAATACTTTGATAGCTTCTCACATTATACTTAGGGTGGGAATCCAAATATTTAATTAGGTCCCCAGGGATCTAGGTGATCTGGCCCCAGTCTACCTCACCAAGCTCATATCTGTCAGTCTCCTTGTAATTCATCCAAACCACACAAGCCATCTTGCTGTTCCTACAACAAGCCAAGTAAGTTTCTGTTTCCTTTAGTAAATCATAAAGTTACACACACACACACACACACACACACACACACACACAAAATACGGAAGTGAATCAATATGAATTAATGTATCATACATATAATCCTATGTCATCAGTTGAACTAATTAGCTAAAATTTGAATTAAATCAGGAAAAGAAAAACATCCTCTGATTATAAGAATAGTATCAGGGGCACCTGGGTGACTTAGTCAGTTAAGCATCTGCTTTTAACTCATGTTAAGGTCTCCAGGTCCTGGGATTAAGTCCGAGTCCAGCTTCCTGTTCACCAGGAATCAGCTTCTCTTTCTCTCTCCCTCTGCACCTCCCCCAACCACATGCTCTCTTTCTCTCTCAAATGGATAAATTAAATTAAATTAAATTAATAAAATAAAATAAATAAAAAATCTTAAGGAAAATAGAATATCAGCCTACATGGTCAATGTTCACAGCCATTAAATTAACAATTAAGAGTAACATTTGCTGTACATAAATAGCAGTTTTTTAATATCATTAAAGTCAACCAGATAATCTGATTAAAATTTCAAGATGCTTAATTTTTTCAATTTCTAAAATTCATATGGTTGCCTAATTGTTGATATTTAAATTTCAGAAAGTAATAAGTTTTTTATGCTTTAATTTTCAATTAGAATGAGTTATTCTGTACTATTTCACAATGAGAAAAGTAAAATTTATAGCATTTATCCACCCAACCACCTGTTTTTTTTAAATTGAAAAAGGTTTTACATTAACAATAAGTTTCAAAACAAAACAAAACAAAACAAAACAAAAAAACTGAGACTTTGCCAAACTAAAAAAATTGAAAACTTGCCTTCCTAATCAATTGTGATATTCTTTGAGTACATAGTGAAGCATAAAGCAACAATATCAACACCACATTTCTTACCATTTACTTGGAAGATGTGAGTTTGAAAGACTTGTTCATAGCCATCTGCATAGCAGGTGTAATTGCCCATGTGAGTTGTGGTAACCTTAGTAATATACAAGGACCCATCATCTCCAAAGTCCTATAGAAATAAAATAAAACAAAATAAAATAAAATAAAATAAATTGAAATCAAATGAGATCTTTGTATTTAAAATGCATTTTAACAATTCACCTTTTTTTAGTGTATTTAGGAGCAAAGTAAATAGACTAAAATATTGTTTTTAAATTATCAAAATAATCATTGTTAGTCTTATAGAGTTAGAAGACCTATAATTACCATATTCCCAAGACATGTTTTGTTTTAAAAAAGTATAACTTCACTCATACATGCAGCTTTTTTAGTATTTATTTGAATTATGAGTTTATATATAAAGTAACTCAATTTCCACATTTTTTTCTAATTTAGTTACAGCAGTCGCCCCTTATCCATGGTTCTGTTTTCCCCAGTTTCAGTTACCCATAGTCAACTGCAGTTTGGAAGTAGATGATTAACCTTCTGATGTATCATCAGGAGGTCAATAGTAGCTTCATGCTAAATCACAAAGTCTACATCATTTACCTTGCTTCATCTCATCATGGAGGTATTTTATCATCTCACAACATTATAAGAAGTAGCATGACGTACAATACAATAAGGGATCTTGAAAGAGACCACATTCACATAGCTTTTATTACACTATATTGTTGTAATTTTTCTATTTTATTATTATTGTTGTTTAGCTCTTACTATGCTTAATTTATAAATTGAATTCTATCATAGGTATGTGTATATAGTAAAAACATAGAATGTATATAGGATTTGATACTATACATAGTTTCAGGTATCCCCTTGGGGTCTTGGAACGTAACTCCTGAGGATAAAAGGGGAGGGCTATACCTTTTTAATTAATAAAGCTTTAAAATGACTTTTTTCTTATTTGTAGCTAAAATAAATAGCTCCTAATTATATTTTTTACATTAGTAATTTTCTATTAATTTTTATATCATTTAATTATATATTTACCCAGAAAAAATGATAACATTCATAGTCAAATTGATAGAATGTGATTTTTGATAAACCTCAGGGACAATCAATATAATAGAACAAAATAGCCATATTATTTCAAATCTATGGAGACTAATGTATGACCATTTTGGAAAAAATAAGGAGAAAAATCTCACTCTATCAAAATCAAACCAAGAAGCACCTCTAGAACAGCAAACACTAGAAAATCTTTTCTTCCATAAAGGCAATGAATACACAGCAGCACTTGTCAAAACTAACTTTTCAGAACAGTGGAAATAGATAAAAAGAGTTTGCACCAATCTATAGAGCATTTACTTCAAAAAATTGCTGAATCTCAGTAAGAACAAAGAGATGTGAACCATCAGCTTTGTAATTTTGCCTGCTATGAAAACCAACATCCTAGCACACACTGGAGGGGGGGAAAAGGGCTTGGAGCTCCTCCAAGTTCCCATCCCTGGAGAACTGTCACCATTTGACCTATCTAGCAGGCCCCTAAAAAGTTCCATTTTTGTGACTTCATTTTTATTTGAGCAAGACTTTAAGTTCAGTCTGTGTAAACAGTCCTATCCCTAAGGCCTTTATTGAAAAGAAACAACAGTAATTGTTTAACATTACAGCTTATTATGTTGGAGATACTGATTGGAGATAACAACAGGTGCACCAAACCAAACCAAACCAACCAACCAACAAAAATTTTAAAGGAAAAGTGGAAATGAGGTAGCAATAGGGGCATATGAAAAGATCTGTGTATTTCTGGGAATCTAGAAAGCCATAAAAATGTGCAAGAATGTGTGCATGCCCAAAAGAGGTGTGTGTGCGTGTGTGTGTGTGTGTGTGTATAATATATACGAATTAGGAAGATAATCCCTAATCTTTGGTCTCTGATTGGCTTTGAGGTCCTGCACAGACAGAAAGTGAAGGCTAAGGCAGACTTGTAACTGTCTATGGGAGTATTGAGTGCATAACACAAAACAGAAAGAGAGCACCTTGGCCAAGTCTGGAAGACTAATTAATTCAACACATTTAATTAAATATCTGTTTAATCATTAGCTCATCACTGAACTGAGTGAAGATTTCAGTAACTAAATATAAGAAACTGAGTAAAAATAAACTCTCCTTCATCAAAATTAAAAATCTGTGCTTCCCAAGGGATACTATCAGGAAAGTGAAAAGATCTCCAACAAAATGGGAGAAAATATTTACAAATCATTTACCTTATAAGGGCTTGCATCTAGGAAAAAGAAAAAATATATACATATATATGAATAATAAAAGGACAAACAATTCTGTTAAAACAATGAACAAAGAATTTAAGTAAATATTTATCAAAAATGAATTACAAATGGGCAATAGGCACATATAAGGAAAATCAATATCATTAGTCATTAGAGAAAGGCAAATAAAAACCACTATGAAATACCACTTCACACTTACTAAGATGGGTAAAATAAAAAAGACTAACAATTGTGGAAGAAGATGTGGGAAAGTTGAAATCTTCAAACATTGCTGATGAGAATATTAAATGGGATATCTACTTGGATTAACAGTTTTGGCAGTTCTTCAAAAACTTAAAAACTTGAACAGAATTAAAAGTTAAACTTCCTTAAACAGAGTCTCATATGTCTAAAGCAATTTGATTCCTAGGCATATACCCAAAGGAACAACAACAACAAAAAATCTTGTACATGAACATTCATAGTAGCATAACTCATATTAACCAAATAATGAAAAAACTCAAATACTTGTCAATTGATGAATGGATAAACACAAAGTGATATATTTATATATAATAGAAAATTGTTTGTCAGTACAAAAGAATAAAGTCCTGATATATACTACAGAATGAATGAATGTTGAAAACATTATGCTAAATCAAAGAAACCAAACTCGGGGTGCCTGGATGGCTGAGTGGGTTGAGCCTCTGCCTTCAGCTCAGGTCATGATCTCAGGGTCCTGGGATCGAGTCCTGCATCGGGCTCTCTGCTCAGCGGGGAGCCTGCTTTCTCCTCTCTCTCTCTGCCTGCCTATCTACCTACTTGTAATCTCTCTCTGTCAAATAAATTAATAAAATCTTAAAAAAAAAGAAAAAAAAAAGAAACCAAACTCAAAAAGGCACAAATTGTATGAGTCTATTCATATGGAATGTCTGGAAAGGCTAAATCCATAGAAATAGAAAATAGATTAATGGTTACCAGGAGCTGAGGGGATGGAGTGATAGGAAATGAATGCTAGTAAATATGGAGTCCTTTTAGGAGTGATGAAAATATTCTAAACTTTGATAGCCACTATGGCTGCACAATTTTCAGAAAATACTAAGACCCACTGAACTAGACATTTTTAAAGGGGTTAATTTATGAAGATTATATTTCAATAAAGCTGTTACTGAAAATAAGTTATATATAGAATATTTAGATTATATATATATATATATATATATATATATAAAACATATAATGGATATGTGTTAAAATAAAACCACATATCACTTTGGCCAAAAGAATCTTAATTTAGTATAAAAATTTTTAGAAATCAAGAAAGAAAGAATGACCAAAATATGCTTATGTAAAGAATAAACACTTTGGCTTTACAAAACATTGTAAGCCTTAAAAGAAAGAAAATGAACCACATGTTATATATATGCAAAATATTTAAAAATGTATTTTAATCCTTATTTATATAGTGATTATATTTCAGATACTGCTCTAATTAATTCAAAAATATTGACATATTTGATCCATATAACAAACCTATGAATCTACTAAAGAGAATCTAGGAAATTCCTCTCACGTTATAGCAGCAGATACTAAGATGTTAAGTAATCTCCTTTGTTTCTCTTGGCCCCTAATTAGTAGAACTAGGATTTGAAACAAGGTAGGCTTACTCCGGAGGCTGTGCTTTAAACCCTACATTATGATGCTTTCCTTGTCAATCACAGACTGAAGTAGGGATAAGGACAGGAAAAGAGAAACAAAGAAGAAAGCCATGATAAAATGCCCAAAACAAAGAAAGTCAATTATGCTGTTAAGTCTGAAGAGAAAAAGGCTAGAAATATAATGAAAGCACCTATGGAAAAGAAAGAATTAAAGCTGAAAGATCTGAGACTTAAGTCAAAAGACAACAACACTTAAAATAAGTCAACAGCCATGGGCCACCTGGGTGGCTCAGTTGGTTAAGCTTCTGTCTTTGGCTTGGGTCATGGTCACAGGGTCCTGGGATTGAGTCCCACATTGGGCTCCCTGCTTACTGGGGAGTCTGCTTCTCCTTCTTCTCCCCCCACTCATGTTTTCTCTCTCTCTCTCTCAAATAAATAAAAAAAATCTTTAAAAAATAAATAAAATAAAATAAACCAACAGCTATGTCTCTTTCCTTTCTCAACAGCAGAAAATGAGGATGACTATAAGGATGTTGTTGAACTCACTCTTCTCAAGATGTAATTGGCATATTTTCAACATCTTCTACCACAAATACTAGTAAAAGGTTTTTATGTATGTGGTAACTGTTAAGACTTAGTCTTTAAGAATTGTTTGATGGGGCACCTTGGTGGCTCCATCAGTTAAGAGGCCAACTCTTGATTTAGACTCAGATCATGATCTCAGGGTCTTTAGATCAAGCCTCACATGATCAGCGGGGAGTCTGTTTGAGATTCTCTCTCCCTCTCCCTCCGCCCCAACTCTTGCTCGTGTGCTCTCTCTCTAAAATAAATAAATAATCTTAAAAAAAAAAAAGAATTAATTGTTTATTGTTTCTTCCAACTTTTAACTTTGGAATTTGCTATCATTCATTCCCTAATTTTTTAATGCATTCTTTATCTTTTGTGTAGAATAATTTGGTTTGAAAATTGTTTCTTTCCTTATATCAACTTCATGATTAAAAAGGCCTTTTTATTCTGATTTAATATAAATATTTTCCAACATTTCTTTCTCATTTCTTTATGTTTATAAAATTACATTTTAATCTCTCAACATTTCCTTTTTATCTTTTAAAGAACTGAGCATTCATCTTTACATTTTTTCTAAACTATAACTAATTGTATCAGCAGCATTTGTTCAAGAAACCCCCTTCCTCATTTGTAAC